ATATTAGTCCCCAAGTAATTTCTTTTCTTGCTCGTCAATGGTTCATTATTTTGGCAAAAATCAATGAGGTCTCAAAACTCAAAAGAGTCACAAACATTTACCTCATGAAACATTTTGAAGGGTGGAAAAAAAAAAATATTTGGAGAACCAAAAAAAAAAAAGAAGTTTAATTTTTTGGGAGGACCCGATTTCAAAATAATTTTTTATACACTAAATTGAGAAACTTTATCTATATAGATCGAATTAATTAATTTTGAAAATTAATTAATTGATTTGCTCAAAATCTTCAGCTTGGGTTTGCTTTGACTTAAAGATCCACATTTGGTTCCAAAATTTTACATCATCGCGCTAATTAATTAAATAAATATCTGGAAAATAAAATTCCAAGGTTATATGTTAATCTAGAGTATTCTAGAAGATGGTGACATTATTGATAGATTCTATACAATTAAAAAAAAATTAAAGCAACCAATTAATTAATAACTTAATTACTGTAATATGCTTCGCTATTGGCATAAAGCAAGGGACACCTTATAATATATCTGTATCTTAGAAAATAATTACAGGCATATTGACTTGATCATTAAAAATGCATTGTCTTGATGACTTTTCAGAATATAAATTATTATTGTGATATGTAACCACATCCCCCCCAAACTTTTTTTTTTTGGGCATCTACTAATAAAACCCTGTAATTCAAAGCTTTGCACATGGAAGTAAAGCATAAAATTTAAAAAATTATTAGAATATAACTTAATCTTTTAAATATTATTTATATATAAATTAAGTTGTAAAATATTTATTATGATAATGAACTTATGCTTCGTTAACAATATAATATGTTAATTAAAAATAAAAAGATCTCCTATATGTTTCTTTCTTTTGGTCACCAAAGTTCAAAGAAATTATTAAATCTTCATTAATTTAAAATTTATTTAATTATTTATTGAGCCAGGCGAGCACTGTGGCGTAGCTATTTGACGTGGGCTCGCTGATGTCATCATCAGCTCACTTATAGACCAATAAAAAGCGAGGAAAAATGCCAGCTGACACAAACAAATCGCAATCGTCCGTTAAACCCACAGGACGCACTATCTCAACGGTCCAGATCTCGCCAGAATCTGCGACTTAAGAGACACGGTACGGTTTCTAGTGTACTCTGTTCACACGTAGATCAGACGGACAGACAAACAGACAAGCGCAGGGTTCTGTTAATTAAATCAATCGGAGAGACTTTCGAGGAATTTCTGCGTACTTGCTGAGATTGTGTTCCCTTTTCTTCCTCCAGAGGAATTGCCCCTGTGGAGCGAGCACGATGGGTTATCTTAATTACTAGTTTTTCTATTAGTTTCGAGGTGATTCCTCAATCAGGTGCGTGATTGACTTCGGGGTCTTTTTCTATTGTAATTGACTTATAAAATTTGGGTTTTGGGTTGATGACTTAATGTATCAGTGTTTCCATTGGGACTTATCTGTTTGGTTCTAAGATGATTGCATCGTAAATTTCTGGGTTAGGTTGAGGTTTCTGTGCTGTGAGTACTTCTAATTTAATTTTTATCTGTTTCTCAATTGCGCTTTATTTCTTATTTTTTTAATTTTTTTGAGTATCTCTGGGAAATTCAGGTCTCAATTAACTAAATTTTTATGTGGAATTTCTAGAGCTTTGCTTCAGCACCGTTACTGTCCCTGTGGGTAGAAATGGTCTTACATTTGAACCTTGGGCTTTGTTTCTATAAAAAGACTTATCCATTGGAGAAACGGAGAACAAATTCAAAATTATTTGGAGCTGTTGTTTTGGAAATGAAAAATGACTATGCTGGTAACTTGTGATTGCTCGCTTGTTACTTGATTGTGATTAGTCTGATTTGTGTCTCCATTTTTGGTTATTTGTGGTCTAGGATGAAATAGTGTTGTATATGATGTTAACGTAGAAGAATTCACGCATATATTGCTTTTTTGATGTTATAGTAAATTGCTTCTAGTAACATGCTAAAATTTTGTGTGTGTCTGTGTGTGTGCATACAAGGCACCAACTGAAGACTGAATCCATATCGGTGATCTGTGTTTTCATTACTCTTAGTCTCTTCTATATGTAGGACTTAAAATTTTGCATGGGAGTTTTGGCGTTCTCTTTACGTTTCTTTGCTTTGCTGAAAGGCTTTTGATTATTGAGATGAATCCATAGATCGATTTTATCACGGTGTTTTCTTTTCTTGTGGTGGGAAATGAGTAGACTTATGATGTTTATGAACAGAATTACCATGGAAGCTTGATGTGACGAATTTTGATTTCCTGTTGAAGCAGTTTTAATGGGGAATATACTGAGTCTGAACAGTTCCACTTCCAAGAGTGAATGGAGTGATCCCCGCGATACCTTGCAAGGTGAAGCTTGCAAGAGACAGAGGTTGTCATCAAGCTTTAGCGAGGACAACTCAAGACTGATTCCCGCCCTTCCTGATGAGATATCACTCCAGATTCTGGCCAGAGTTCCTCGCATTACTTACTTAAATCTCAAGTTTGTTTCTCGTGCTTGGAAGGAGGCTCTTGTGAGTTCCGAACTATTTGCTCTGAGAAAAGAACTTGGGACGGCGGAGGAATGGCTCTACATGTTAACCAAAGTCAGTGATGATAAGCTGCTATGGCGTGCCTTGGACCCGCTTTCGGGAAGATGGCAGAGGTTGCCACCAATGCCAAATGTTGCCTTTGAAGATGAAACAAAGGGTTTGACTGCCCTAAAAATGTTGCGCAGGGTTGGATCAGGTATTAGAATTGCTGACGTCATAATGAGCTGGCTTGGGAGGCGAGATGCCCTAGATCGGATGCCATTTTGTGGTTGCTCAATTGAAGCTGTTGATGGTTGCATCTATGCTCTAGGAGGATTTTTTAAAGCCTCAGCATTGAAATCTGTTTGGCGATATGATCCTGTGAAAAATTCTTGGAGTGAGGCTAGTCCAATGTCAGTTGGTAGGGCCTATTGTAAGACAGGTATATTGAATGGCAAGCTTTATGTTGTTGGAGGAGTTACCAGGGGTCCTGGTGGACTTAGCCCTCTTCAATCTGCAGAAGTATATGATCCTCATACTGGTGTGTGGTCTGAATTGCCAAGCATGCCTTTTGCAAAGGCTCAAGTGCTACCGACTGCATTTCTGGCTGACCTGCTTAAGCCTATTGCCACAGGAATGACATCATACAAGGGAAAGTTATTTGTTCCTCAGAGTTTGTATTGCTGGCCATTTTTTGTCGATGTTGGTGGAGAAGCTTATGATCCAGATATGAATTCATGGTTTGAAATGCCAAGTGGTATGGGTGAGGGTTGGCCGGCAAGGCAAGCTGGTACAAAACTTAGCGTTACTGTTAATGGTGACTTGTATGCCCTGGATCCTTCAAATTCTTTAGACAGTGTAAAGATCAAGTTATATGACCATGAAGATGATGCTTGGAAAATTGTTGCTGGAGATGTTCCAATTCATGATTTTACAGATTCAGAATCTCCCTATCTTTTGGCTAGTTTACTTGGAAAACTCCTAGTGATAACTAAAGATGCCAATCACAATATCACAGTGTTGCAGGCTGACCTGCAAAATGACACATCGTCCTCCCAATCTTTATTGCCACCACCAGATGATTCACTTGGTGAACAAGCTGCTCCGTCCGAGGAATCTGAGGGTGAGCTTTGGAGGGTTCTTGCTACTAGGAGTGGTAGATCCACTGAACTAGTAAGCTGCCAATCCCTTAAAGTTTGATTGTGGATAATACTTAGATAATATTTTAGGTGTTTGTTATCAAATTCTCCAATCAAGGTATAATACAATATTTTTTGGGAAACTATATGAAGCAGAGTTTTGAAAGGAGTCTATGCTTTATGTTTTTATTGGAGAATCAAATAGTGAGCATCTTAAAATTGTAACTAGGTTTTGTCCTTTGATTATCTGAGATAGTACTTCTGCGTAGGTTGGTGTGATTTGCTGATAAAGCCAAAAGCTTTATGTGGTTAATAAAAATTTCAAATTGCAAAATTTAGGAGTGATCATTATGATGTTACCATTCTGGTTATTCTTGTATACTTAGAAATCTCAAAATTGGAGCAAAATAAGAACCGGATAGTTCAAAATTGAACTTCTAACATCCTACCTTACATGTGCATGTTTATTGTCATCAAAGAAGGGACGTTTGATTATTTTAAATCTCTTATTTTCTTGTATGATTCAAGTAGTAATATTCATAAAGCAGCGACAAACTTCCAGAGAACTCTTATGAGCCGTTGTTGTGGTGGTTGGTTACTTTTACCTAATGAAAAAAAAAATAAAAAATGAAGAAGTTGAAGGCCAAGTTATGGAATACTTGGCACATTTTTGCTTTTAAAGACCAATTTTTTTGTGCAAGGAGCAAGTGTCTTCCTATTAGAGATAATCCTGTTTGAAACATTGTCGAGCATTAAATGTAAGCTTCTCTTCTAGCGGTGATTCGAACCTTAGTTCACTATGTTGTGAGGGACTAACTTTTTGCGCTAGATCCAATCCCTGTTGGTTCTGAGAATGGTCAGGTTCAAAAAAATAAATAAATAAAGAGATAATATACCCGTAAATTACTCTAGAGTCAACGACAAAAACATTTTCCAACTTGTATCTGCCGTGTATACTCTCTCACCTACAAAGCACATGAAATCATTAAAAAAAAACGTGTTTTCTGATATTTTAGACATTATTTTTTTGGTCAAAATCTGTTGGACAAACTTTCACAAAATATCTTTTGACATATGGTAGAAACAGCCCTACAAAATAGTTTTATTTTAAGACAATAAACTCTTAAAAACTAACAATCGTTTGCTTGTCTTCAGCCTTCAGATTTGAGTTTTGACAGAGAAGCAATATCATATAAGTGCAAGTATGATCTCAGATAATCTACTGCATAAAGCTAAACAGATATGATATATTACTGATAAATACAGAAAATATAGTTCACGCATGAAGCTGATAGAAGTGAGGCATGAGTTAAAACTTCTAACAGAAAAGGTGTTTCAGTAGCTGTGAGGCCTCAGTGATGGTCTCTCTGTGGCCAAAAGCACTAATTCTTAATAAACTCTTCACCACCTGGACCAAAACCACTGCCTGGGACTGTGATTATGTGTGTCTTCTCAAGAATTTCAGCAAACACATCCCAAGATTTTGAGCCAGGAAAATGGACCCAAATATGGGGTGCATTTTCACCACCATAAACTGTCAAACCAAGTGAAGCCAAAGAATCTAACAGTATTCTTGCATTCTCCATGTAATAAAGGGTGCGGAGCCTGACAGCCTGAAATGTTTTCAAAAGAATAATCACCAAAAGGACACTGTGGCTTACTATTTTCTCTTCAGGACTGTCAAAGGCCATATCAGTGCAAAAACATAAAGCCTGTGACCCAAAGAGGGGGCCAAAAAGGAATAACCTCTAGGCTCCATCTTATGGGAACAGACCAGAGTCTTACTCATGCCGAAATTTCATCTAATCATGAAGAATGAGGATGGCTAGGATTGTACTCTTGATCACTTGATCGTAGATACTCAGATATCAAAATTTGTTTTTAACTCGAGACTTACCAAAAGCCCACAAACAGTTTTTTATTATAATCTACAAAACGTAAAATTCAAATACTGTTCCTAAATGATAGATTATCAGACGTCCTTCCCTAGAGGGTGCTTCCTGCTTAACAAGCAACAATGGGTGACATACAAGAACTCAAAATCTGTTCTGCGGCCTCAGAACTCAGAAGCTATTGTTATATTGCCAACAAAACCCATCCTTTATGAAAATGGGTCAGGTAAATTATATTTTTTCTCATGAAGACTAATGGAATCTTAAAGCTTCAATCAACCTGAGACAAATTTAACAGTATAATCAATGAATATGGAAGCTGAGCTGAAATGCTGTAAAAACTTCAATCAAAACGACACCTCAATGGCAGAATAGCATGCTAGATTCTGAATTGTGCATTAAATAAGGAATATAAGCATGAAACTTAACAAAAAGGCATGGATGCCTTCACATGCAGGTGTCCCTTTGGGAACTTTAGCTAACCTTGAAGCCCTCTGGTGAGAGACATGCTACTCCACCAGCCTGGGCGATGTTGGATGCTCCGTTAAAACAAGTGCACATTATGCGATCAAAATCATGTAAAACAGGAAATCCATTAGCATAGAAGAGTTCTTCAGGGACTACTGTCCAACCAAGGAGGACACCTGTGAATCCAGCAAACTTGGAGAAGGATGAAACTTCAATTGCAACCTAAATTCATGAACAAAACAGGACTGAACAAGCTATTAAGGATATAAGAATGCGATGAAAATTTCAGTTTAAAATAATGATCTGTACAAGCCTGAGCATCCCCTAAATAATATTTGATCATTTTGTCTTCATAAGAAGGTATAAGTAGATCTTATGAACTACCACTCAGCCCGGTGATTGACTTATCTCTTAATTAATTAGCCAGATGTGATTCTTTTGGACTCTAGAAATGGGTGCACAAGTCGATTCTGAAAACAGCATTAGGCAAAATAAAACCCTGCTGGACAAATGAGCAAGATTACCTCTCTGGCACCAGGAATTTCATAGATTGATTTTGGACTACCATCAGTCATAAAAGCTGAATATGCAGAGTCAAAGACAATGATTGATCCATTCACTTTGGCAAAATCCACAAGTTGCTCTGGTTGCTTCCTTGTCGCTGCATGACCTGTGGGATTGTTCGGAGAACAAAAGAAAATAATTTCTGCCCTTGGAACAGAAGATAGATCAGGGAAGAAGTTTGTTTGAGGCCCGCATTTCATGTACTCTGTTTTTGTACTGGCCAGCTTTAGCTAGAAATTCGCCAGTCTGACCAATTATGACGCTTAGGATGTAGGCCTGTCCAACAAGAAATTGCAAGGTTAGAACGCTTTCAATCTGGTGAGAAGACCTGTACACTCAGTTTGAGAAGCTACTTATAGAGAGAAGACAAAGACAAGAATTAATCCAATTAAAATGCAATAACACAAAAAGGACCATAAAATGCTCATAAAGTGCATTAGCAGCAAAACATCCAGATATGTTTCTGGGATATTTCTCCCGTAACCATACTTTCTAGTTTCTTTCCACTATTCCCTCTTTTTGCATTTTAGTTTGTTTCAACTTTCGAGGAATTTGAGTCAAGAAAGAGTGCAACATGCATTAAAGGACATTTTTGACAGCATTCTGCTATTACATTCATAATCAAGGAATGAAAAACCTTTTTTTCTGGAAGGTCCGGACATGAACTCCTACATCGTGAATACATTTAAATTTCAGAACCTGCAACATGTGTTCACTGAAGAAAATATTGCTTGAGCAATGGTGGTCCCCAACTCTTTGTACACCAGTGAGCGAAACCAACTTCAAGGGAAAGGGAAAACAAGTAATGACCACATGAAATCCATCACTTGTTATTATACGAAACTTAATGATGGTTGGTGACATGTAGATGATACAGGTAATGTTAAAATTTAGTCATAAATCACTTAGAGATAACTGTACCGGAAAGGATGGGTCCTGTATAGCTCTCTTTACAATCGAGCCCAGAAGCAGCTGCAAGGAATGAAACAAATCACAATTCAGTTATCTGTGTTGAAGTGAGAAATACATGATAGAATTAACTTACAATGAGGGTTGGCATTCTCACATGAAAGTTATTTTGTGAGTAAAAATTAACTGACATTTGAGAAGGAAAGAGGAAGAAAAAACTTGAAAATAACAAAGCTCTATGTGATGGGTCCAAGCGCACTATAGCTTAAGGAAGGAAAAGTAAGAAGAAAGAATTGGGTCAACCAGGTCTAATCGTGATGGGAGGGACAAATGATATGGGAGTTAGTGTGTAGGTTCCGTTAATATGAAACAGTACTGATCAAATACCTGAAGACGAGTAATGTCGCACTGAGCCCCATCTGAGACAAAAACCTCAACAGGCTTTATCCCTAGATCTTTGTGGAATACATCAGCAATTGCTTTCCTTAAGGCCTGCCATATATTTGTCAGAAAATGTTACTTGCATGACACATCAATATAATAATTAGCTAAATCAGGAACTGAGGTCCACATCAGAAGGGAAAAATCTTCAGAGGTTTTGAACCAAAGTCTTCCATAACAGCAAAACAATTTTCTTCGAATTGCTGAAACGAGCAACCAGATACCTTTTCACCTTGCTCAGGTCCATATCCTTTATAACCTTCCATTGTTGAAAGGCCATGCACAAACTGCATGAAACCATGAGTTAACATTTTTCTTTGACAATATGTAGAGAAAGTGTGGTTAGACTTTTCAAGAATTAGATGAATCTATTTCTCTAGAGGTTATAATATCTTATCAAATTTTGAACCAATGGTGGTTCCCAACAAGATACCAATAATTATTATACTCCTCCTAAGCTTGATCTAATCCTTGTTCTCAACTTAAACACAGACACAAACAGCAGTGTGCATGCATAAAATTACAGGCAGATGCTTGCATCTGATCCAAGAATTAACTTTTTGCCAACAATACCAGGAGAGGAATTTTTCAAATAAGCAGTCTACAGAAAAATAACTATCTATCTTGTAAACCTCTTTCATAACAGAAGTTGGCAGGAGCACAAAATTCCTTAAAGCCACTTTCCAGGTGCATATTCATATACCGACCCAACAGAAACAACAAAGGCAATTTAATCACCTACATCGATCGTGCTTGATGTAATAACTGTTGGCAGGGGCTTTGTAGTACCACCAATTCCTAGGTCTATTACTTTTTCATGTGGATACTTTTCTTTGTGCATGAGCTCGTGTCTGTCAATCTGATGCAACGAAGATTTTAATTAGAGAAAACATCATAAAATTCTATGACTTCTTATGAGAGAGAGAGGAAATAAATGAGAGTCATTTCTGACTAGCGGATAGAATTAATACTTCCAGAATTACATGAGAAGAGATTAAAGATTTCAAAATGCCAAAGTTATTTGGTCAGACAATGTCACGACCCTTAACCAATGCATCATATAAGTTCAGAAAAGAAACAAGGTGCTCAAATGAGCTGTTAACTGATGCCCAGAATCTTAGGTGTCATTTATAGTAATAACCATGGATAAAGAGAAGGTTAATCTGTTCAAATGGAAAGGTAAAAGAAAATTTTATAAGCAATATTAAGATGAGACAGACACTAATTTAGATAAAATATCAAGAAATATAATTACTATTGAAAAACACCTCTGGAAACAAATAGCCATGTTGCAGTTTCTCCATGTTTACATTCCGGGGTACCTTGGTGCAGTTTCCTGAATATGACAATCATAATGGAAAGTTTAAAGATAAAGGACCACAATGAAAGGATAAATCTGCGGAAACTAAAAGTCTGAACTAAACAAGAATGAGTTATAGGATACCAAGTCTCACTGCTTGGTTTCTCAAGCTGCATGAGATCCTGTAAATTATCATTGGATAAATATATTGAATATTGTTCAAAACCATGTAAATGAAGATCACAATAATAGAAAAGACAACTAAGTATACAGGTTTTTGTCATTATCATCAAATTTGATTTTACCTTGATGTGGCCATCTTGGATGGGAAAATTTTTGTACTAAACATGACACTGCCAGTTGACATCTTGTATATTTTAGGCCTGATTTAAGTTCTTCAACAAGAAACTCATCGTTCTTCAACAAGAAACTCATCTAAAACTTTGGTTCTTATATATACTAACAGGTCAACCGACATGCTAAGAAAGTCTACTGAAATGTATGTAAATTTCCCCTTTGCACACCTCCACCTAATTTCCATCATTTTTCTGTGTCTTTCCTTTAATTTTCTTCAAACAAGAAGCACCCATCCATCAGTTTCAGATTAAAGAAAGCATCTGTGAGAACATCTCATTTGACAGCTTCTCCTTTCTTTGACCATTCCAAACACTATATTAGTCTCCCTCTGTTTTTCCCCATATAATTGGGCGTACAGATACACTGGTATCTAATATCGTATTATCTCCGATCCTAAATATAAGAGCTGGTTGACTAATTTGAGTAGATTAAGGAAATAAGTTAAGTTAGCTGTTTGTAATAAATAAGTGTTGTCTTTCCTAAAATATCCTTGCTAATCAAATTTATTGGCTAAAACTATCATTATTAGAAGGACTATCTTGAAAAAAAAATGAATAAATATAAGAGACAAAGTGGATTGGGTCTTATATTTAGGACTAAAATAAAAGTCAAACAAGATCTTATATTAAAGACCGGAAGTAGTATATATGAATTTGGTAGAAGAATGATGGTGCTAATTAAGTTTTTACGATGTTATCTGAGCAATTAACAACAATAATCGATGCTCTTTTTGTTGACAGAAATAAAAATTATGCCTTTAATTCGTTATATTATGGACTTTTAAGTTTGTGAAGTTAGTTAGATTTCATTCCACATAATTATATTCACAACCCTGCTAATTGCAAAACATGATACTAATGTAGTTTCATGATGAGAGGGAAAAAAAAAATCCATATACTACCTCCGGTCCTAAACGTAAGAATTAGTTAACTAATTTGAGTAAATTAAAAAAAATAAGTTAAGTTATTTGTAATAAATATATGTTGTCTTTTCTAAAATATCCTTACTAATCAAATTTATTGGTTAGAACTATCATTATTAGAAGGATTATCTTGAAAAAAATAAATAAATATAAGAGGCAAAGTAGATTGGGATCTTATATTTAGAACCAAAATAAAAGTCAAATAAGGTCTTATATTAAGGACTGGAAGTAGTATTTAGCAGTAGATGAATGTTATATGAATTCCACATCTCATTAAGCTACATCAACAATGGATGTGCATACACTGTATAATCTGCCTAATTTGACAGTGAGTTTAGCGTTGAAGAGAAAATTATAGCCGTTGTCTTTTTGTGGAATACCATCGAGAAGGATAAGATAAAAATCATATAATCAAACTTTCTAAAGGACATATATACATAAATACATATATATATATATCCTTTGAAAAGTCGAACTTTTCTTAGGTCCCATCTTGTTTCAAAAGAATATGGATCACAAAATTGAATAAAATTTGTAATTTGACGTATGTGTGGAATTTCAGAGGAGCTTGTGTTATACTACTAACTATTCTGGAAAGGAGAAAAGATGTAAACATCCATGCATTTAAAAAAAGCCATGCCATCTTCTTTCCAAGTGACTATTGGCTGACATTTTTGCACACACGAGCATCTGTGGAAAGGCTTAACCCACTTTGACCATTCAATACAAGACAGATTCTTATGTTGGATCATTAAAAAACCTAGGACACAGGAAACTACACAGAAAACGACCCATGACAAAAAAGTTTATATTACCAAATCGCAACCGACCTTCAACAGAGGAAATGTGTGAACAGGAGAAGTTGAGAAGCGCCTGATCATGAAATTCAGAAGCTAAAACCTTCATTATGAATATTATTATCGTTGGTTGTTACTCCCTATGTTTCTTATTATAAGAGACATTTGATACTTATGGCATGTTCTTATATATAAAAGACACTTAAAAGTTGTCTCTATTTTTTTGTGTTGATTTCCTATTTTACACATATTTATTGTCTCCAACTCACACTCTCTCTCCTTCCTACTTCTCTTTCTTTTAATAATTTACCATTTTTCTCTCTCATGTTCTCCCTCCTTATTAATGAGGATATCTTTGGAAAAAAAATTATACTTTTTACACATTGATTGTTCTTAACTAATTTTAACTGTTTTTTTTATCAATGTAATTCGGTTATTCGTCTCTTATAATAAAGAACGGAGGGAGTAAAATCTATCATTGGGTGGGAAAAAAGTAATCGCATTGTTAGCTCGTCGTGATAGTTCTTCAATGATTCAAACAAAACTATTTATTAAAATAAAACTTGCATAGAAAATCATCAGTCAACTAAAAATACTCAGATAAAAACAAAACGATGCAAAGTTTTTCCAATCGTATCCATTTTTCTTCATTTGATAGCAATGTGAAATAAAGTGACGGCATATATGAATTAGAGAAGATTATCCTGAAAGTGATTCAAAATATGCGGACGTATTCTAAAGGTGAAGTACTCCTGGGGGAAAAAAAAAAAAAGAGCCTATTCGAATTGACCAGAATAGACAATTCGTTATGCGTTCCGGTTCTGGTCGAGGACTGTTCTTTCTTTGACGTCAACGCCGGCAATGGCTGGCGTTCTTCCATATAGTCTTCTCCTAGTGAGCACCGCAGCCATTGGCGGCGGCAGCCACGTACGGCGGATGGATGCATCAAAATATCACATTACATGCACTTTGTAGTTTGTGGTAATACTCTTCTTTCTTTCCGCTAAAGTTAATTTTAGTTCTAAATATGTTATTTATTTTTTATATTTATTAATTTTTTTTAAATTACATACTCTCTCAATTATAATCAAGTAAGTGAGAGGAAAAAAATATTAAGAAAGATGATTATAGTATTTTAAGAAAAACATATTATATTTTTTATGGTTAACTAACTTACCTAACTTTTTAAACTAATCAAATTAGTTAAATAAATCTTATATTAAGAACGGGAGGAGTATAATTTTGACAAAAAAAATATCGTCCTTTTTGTAAATTATTTTCATTAATTATGCACTACCTCCGGTCCTTAATATAAGATTTTTTTATTTTTATTTTGATTCTAAATATAGGATCTCAATTCACTTTGTTTATCATATTTAGTCAAGTTAGTCAATTAACTTTTATAATTAGGACCAGATGTAGTATATTAAAAGAGAGTTTCTATAAGACAGCTTTCAATATTAATAATTAAAAAATTATTTTATGAGAATTAACATTCATTTTTAAACTATAACTAATTTAATTAAATTTCTTAATTTCTTTAAATTACTCACTAGAAAAAAAGATACTATCATTCAATATGCTTTGGGCTAAATGTATTTATATAAGATTTATAAAATGTAGCACAATTTATTATCTTAAAATTCAAGTAAATATAGCCCACATCCTAATTTAATTTCATTTGAGATGTTATATACCTGCTTTGCAGAGATCCTAAACTTGAGTTTTGTAATAACTTTTTTCAGTAATAATTTTTTTAAAAAAAAAGGAGAAAAAGAGTGACAATGTGCTGGAAAAATTGAATCTTGATATGTATATATATAACGATTTGAAGCTTGAAATGAATTTATAATCGAATTATAAAATTAAAGAATAATTTGCCCATGATTGAAACGCAAGAAATTTGTGTACAATTTAATTTTCTTTTTCTAAAAGAAAACTTGTTGAAAATTTGATTCCTGAAGTTTATCATTGTAGGAAGAACTCTGAACACTTGTTCATGTTGATAAGAAATAAATATTAAAAAAAATCTCGAATATAAACAATTTTAAAAAAAAAACTAATATCATCCAGTTAGCTCGTGTGGAATGCATAGCTCTTTCTGGGATGGTTCGTTGTGTGTGTGTGTGTAAATATATATTTATATATATATAAAATATGATGATAAAGACATTAGGTCACAAAGTTCTAGATAGCACTAATGCATCAGAAATTTGGGTGAACCTTCGTGGTCCATTCATAATGAAATTCTTTGATACGGTCAGATCCTTGTTATAATTATTAGCACCTAATAATAACTTTATATATATAATAATCTAAAATTAATTATTTCTTACAAAATATTAAAATTGTCCTCAATGAAAGTTACAACCTCTAGTCCTGAATACTCCTCTGATCTTTAATATAAGATCTATTTAACTAATTTATTAGATTAAGGAAATTAGGTAAGTTAATTATAAAAAATATGACATTTTTTTCCTAAAACACCATAATTATTTTTCTTAATATTCTCTCTCCCTCTTGTACTTACTTATGGTTGAGGGAGTATATATATAGGGGTAATTTAGAAAAAATTAATAAATATGAGAAATAAATCTTATATTTAAGACAAAAATTAACTTAACAATAGGCGTTGTCTTTTCTAAAATATCTAATCAAGTTTATTGGCTAGAGCTACTATTATTAAAAGGACTATTTTGGAAATAAAAAATAAAAAAATTTGAGAGACAAAGTGGATTGAGATCTTATATTTAGGATCAAAATAAAAGTCAAACAAGATTTTATATTAAGAACCGAAGTAGTATTAGCTAGAAAATTTCTGATATATGCTATATTGTAACTCATTTTTCAATTCTTTATGGAGAAGTAGATAAAAAATTGAAGAAGGGTGAGGGGTTTGAATCAGAAGTTGAGATCATTAGTAAGAATATTTGCATTTAATATGAAATTTATATTATCTAAAATAAGAGCTAGTTAACTATTGGATTTGTTCCTAAATATATATATATAGAACTTCACTCTTTTATCTCTTAAATTTATAAAAAAAAATTTCTAAAATAACCCTATTGATTGTAAAAAAAAATCCCACCAAAACATAATTCCAATGCATATAATTAAATA